ATTGTGATAGTTTTCTAACTTGAACATCCGAGGACAATCGTCGAGTCAACCCCGGCGTGTCAGCGAGTTTTTTCAACGTGTTTTGTACGTTAACGAGAGGACCAATCTCTTCGACTACCTCGAAACACGTGACAGTGACCATTGGCATTCTCTACCATTACGGGCTAAAAAACTCTTGGTTGCCCAATCGATATTTGATCAGCATCTCTTGGCTTTCCTTTTCCAGATGCTGACTTGATTGAACAAATACAACACACCATGTTAACTGAAAAAGAAGTCTACTTTCAATTTTCAAATTTAGGATGCAAGATGCAATGCAAACAATAATTTTTAGTACAAATAAGCAACAATAAAATACAACTTTCAAAACCACAAAAAAAAAAAAAAAAAAATTATGTAGCAAACAAGATGCAAAGAACAAAAAAAGAAAAAGCAAGCAGCAACAACTAATAAAAGAATTAAAAAAAAAACAATTATCAAAAATATATAAACTATTCAAACTTCAATATAGTGCATACTACAATAAAATGTAGACCAAATGAACATCAACAAAATGCATAACACAAATAACAACATGTATACCATAAGAATATCAAGAAAACGACGACATAAAAATAATGATGTGTTCCTTTCTTGGATGATGTTAAACAACAATTTTGTGACATTCTCTCTTTTTTTTTTGACATGGTTGTTAAATGCCCAATAAAAGAAAAGTAATTAGAACAACAATCACAAACAATAAAGTACAAACTTCAACGAAAATTACTAATTGCAAATATAAAATTTAAATTCAAACAATAATAGAAACAACAAACAAGAATTGTCATTGCAAACATTAAACAACAACTGCAAGTTCAAAACAATAACTGCAAAGTGCAACCTAAAATTATAAACAATTACTTCTTGCGAACATGTAGAAACAGCAAAAAAAAAAAAACTAATTTAAATGCCACACTATGAGGACTACAGAAAAATGCATAACAAACTGACATCAATATCATGGATAACACAAGAACATGACACGTGCAAACAAAGAACTGCCATTACAAACACTTGCAAAGTGCAAACTACAGAGATTTTTTTTAAATGTCCACCCTATGAAGGTTATAATAAAACAGACCTAATTAATAGCAAACAAATGCATAACACAATCAAATGCAAACATTGCAAACAACAAATAAAACTTTAATTACAATCATGAAACGCAAAGTGCAAACTGTAATTACAAGCATAAATCAAATTATAGAACAACTAGTTGTACTGTCTTACCCACATACTATAATAATCTACACCCAATTACCAGAAATAAGATGTTTCAACACAATAACTCAACATGCAAACTTAAAAACATCAAAAGAAAAAAAAAACACAAAAACAAAACAAAACAAAACAAAAAAACAGAAAATACAGAAAAAGACCCATGCTATGGTTTCGTCTAAAATATATGGAATGAATGCGAAAATATTATTACCAAGCCGTTTTACGCTTTTGCACTATCAAAACATAGATTCGGTCCTCTTTAACACCAAACAATGAACGAAAACTAAACAATCGATTTCTGGATAAGCAAACAACAAACGATTTTTGGGTTCGCAAACAACAAACGATTTATTGGATAAATTCATAGCTAGAGTTTGCGATTTTTGGGATAAATTTAGCGCTAATAGATTGCGGTGGTTTTTTGGGGAGAAAATTGAAATTCTAGTGGTTTTGGGATTTTGAGAATTTTGAGGAAGAGTTGATTACAGATCTTTTAGGATAAAAGTCAAAAATTAAAATATTCTATAAAGTGGGCTTTTAATTTAAGATTTTCTTTTCCATATACTATGAAGTGTATTTCAGACACAATAAAAACAATAAATTTAAAAAAAAAAAAAAAAAAAACAGGGATTTATTAGTTGGATTCATACACATAAAATCTACTACGGTAGGACTTCTTTTATATAAAGAAGCGGCTAAAACAAATACCGTTTTTTTCTCACTTCTATACTACCAACATAAAAAATGAAAAAATAAATAGATACTGACATTATTACCCCTAATGAAAAATCAATACCACATAAAATTTGTGCGGCATTGATTTTATTAAGGATATTAATGTCATTACCGATTTATTATCTATTTATTATGATGACGGTATTGAAATAAGAAATAAACGGTCCTTTATTTAAAGATGATATGAAGAGGAGCAATTGGTATTTTGCAAATAAGCCCCCCTTTTTTTTTTCTTTTTTTAAGATTTTACAAATAAGCCCTCCCAACCTAGATCCATTAATCGATTGAGAATTGGGATCGATAATATACGCTCTGCCCATTCGATCGATATCGAACTTCACCGCAAATCGCAACTGAGTTTTCCTCTTAGGTACTAGTACAAACATATATATATATATATATATATATATATATATATATATATATATATATATATATATATCTCTTTCTCTCTTTCTTTTACTGTGTGTGTTTCGGATGAAATCTCGAAGTTTAATGATGTTTTTGTAGGTGTCGGCATATCTATACTGCATCATCATATATTTGGACATAGAATTTAATTATGTCTTCTGCTCAAGACCCTTTTTACATTGTCAAAGAGGAGATTCAGGGTTCTGTAAGTCTTTTTTTTGTTCTACTTCTCATCCGCAGATCAATTAAATAAAATTACATTTTTTTGGGATTTATTTTCATAGAAAAATACATTCCCCCGATTTTAATTTTAGGTTTCCCGTTTATATTCTGATTATGGGTTCGATTTGAATTCGACTGCTTACATCTGTGCTTCTTCTTGTCAATTTTATGTGGGGAACTGAATTTTGGAGGGTATTAATGTGATTAAATGAATCTTAAGTTTATTGATCTGCTGTACATGGATTATTTCATTTTTTTTCAATTTTTTTTATGAAAAGATGAGAAAATAAATATAATTTTTATGCTAGTAGAGTTAATTGAAAATACTGCTGCTCTTCCAATTATTGATCAGCTAGTATTTTCGGTTGTGACATATGTTATTTCTTGATTGGTTGCCATATTAATCCTTGATCCGATTAGATTGATAAGTTGCTCTCAACATTTAACCAATGGGAGCGAATGCCGTTAGAGAGTGTAGAGCAACTGCGTCTCACTAAGGAGCTTCTTTCTGGATGCGAGACCGTTGAATGGCAGGTACGACTTTTGCACATGCTATCTTTCTTTCTTTAGACGATGTTCAGTTATTTGCATCGGTCTTGTTATATTTGAAAGTATTTCTTTCTGCATCATTTCGTCATTGCCGATGATAATAGTTACAATGCAAATTCTGAGGTTGGCGTTGCCGGGATTTCTTACGACAGTGGCCTTAAAATCTAGGCGGGTTATTTTTAGAATTATTCTTAGGCAGAAAATAGCACTAAACAAGCAAATACTTTTAGACATCATTTGAAATAGAAAAAGTGATCTCTTTATAGTTACTTACATCACCAAATATAATCGAGTAAACTCCTTACGAACTACAGTTGCCCCCCTTTTCGAGTTTTTATCAGTTCTCGTGGAAATTTCTTATAAAGATAAGTAAAGTATCGTTCAACCATTCGTTATTTATCTTGGATTTTGGATGGATGGGCTAAAAGATATGAATTGAGTAGACTAAATAACGGGTTATATAATGTGACAATTCGGGATTGAAAATAATTCAAGAATATTTGGTAAATAAATAAATGTATATCTCTCACGGTAGTACTGAAAATTGGTTTTGCTGATAGGAAGGTGGATGAATTGGACAAGACAATTGACGTTGCAGCGAGGGATCCTGCTTGGTATGGTATTGATCAAGCAGAGCTCGATAAACGAAGAAGATGGACTAGCAATGCTCGTAATCAGGTATCAACCACCACCTTTTATTTTTTGTTATGCTTAAGTTTTTATTTCATCCACCTGAAATTTATTTTTCGATCAATAGGTGAAGAATGTTAAGAAAACAGCGGTTATTGGAAACGAGTCGAATGGGACGAGCACCTCAAATGTCAATGGAATGCGGCGTGAACTCATGAGAGTGCCGAATCCACATCAAACTGATAAATCGAATCAGTACGCTGCTGCTCAAGAGAATGATGATTACATATCATCTGAATCGGACAGACAATTACTTCTGATAAGGTAATATTGTTATCGTTGTTTTCGAAACCCGGTTTCATTTATTTTCTTTTCCTCAGTATATCCTTGTATTTTTTCATTTGTCTCGTGTATCTTGATTTTGCAGTTGTTCAGAAGCTCGCCTTGCTCTTTTTTTCCCCTTAACTAGTATCTCTTATGAATGGGTATTTACGTGAATTGCCATTACCGAGCATCTGATCTATTATTAACTGTGGACCATGTGAAAATTCCTCTCTTTTTTTAATGCATCGTGGTAGGACTCTATGCAACGCATGTATAAAAACCAGTTCTTAAAAATTGTTTGTGTACGATAACTTTGACAATAGCAATACTCTAGACAAAATATTGGAAATTACCGTGTGCACTTTGATCGGAAGTATAAAATCTATCTTGCAAGGAACATTATTACCTTAAAAAAATTTAATAATCATTCAGCAATAAATAATCGTTTATTACTTTTCCTGGTTGTGTTGGTGGTTTTTCCTTATTTTATTTGAAATTGAAACTTTTTTAACAACCCTAAATTACGCGTTTCGTGTATCTTGATTTGCAGTAGTTTAAAAGTTTACCTTGCTTTTTTCTTTTTAACTTGTATTTCTTACGAGTATGGAAGTGAATTACCATTACTGAGCATCTTAAAGTTGACAACATCAAGAATTTTTACTTATCTTCAATCTTGGTAGGAATCTATGCACGAAAACTAATTTTTACAAGTTGTTCGTGTAGGATATAACTTTAAAAATAGCAATACCCTAGACAAAATATTGGGAATTATCATGTGTACTATGTCCGAGGTTGGAATAACGTCAGTTTTTAGTTGGTGAACGCAGATAGATTATTTTTGGAATGACTGTTTGTGTGACTTATTGGTTTAAAAGACTCGTTTCCTGCTGAAAATATTATTTAGTGGAACTTTCTTATATAGGGTGATTCGAGACCGAAAAGTAGAAATGTTTTTCGGAGTAGTGGAACTTTCTTGTTTCAACTTATACACTGGTAATAGACTTTTATTGCAATGTTAGATTCTTGGATTATATTTCTGACAGCCTGTGGTATTGACTTCTGAATGTGACGTTGATACCCTTCTCGTTTTATTTAATAAACTGTAAATAGGAATGAAGAAAATACTCTTTGGATGAATTAAGTTAAGGAGGCAGTAGTGCATATTTTGAGCCGTGATTTTGAGTTGTGTTTTAATTCAGGCAACAGGATGAAGAGCTAGATGAGTTGAGTGCAAGTGTCGAAAGAATAGGAGGCGTTGGGCTCACAATACACGAGGAGCTTCGTGCTCAGGTAAGTGTAATAAACACATATCATTATAAATTGCATTTTTTTTTCTAGGAAATTACATAATTCGCGGAGTGGTGATTTTTTCAGGAGAAAATCATGGATGACTTGGGCAATGAAATGGACAGCACATCAAATCGTCTAGATTTCGTTCAGGTGAAAATTATTCCTTCTATGATAATTATGTTTCCTATTAAAGCCTAAAGGCGGTAAATAAAAAAGGGTTAATTACAGTAGAACCTCGATAAATTAATAACCTCGCTAATAATAGTTTCTTTCGGTCCCGACTTTCTAAGAACCTACTATATTATTAGTTCGATAATATAATATTTCGCTAAATTAATAGAATTTTGCTAGTCCCGACTATATTAATTTATAGAGGTTTAACTGTACAAAGGCCACTCTTCAGCTTCGGCTTACTTAGGTTTTGTTCATTGTTTACGAAAATGTCGATATCAGTAAAAAATTACGTTTGAAAACACTGTTTCGATCATATACAGTTGGTAGAATTTGCAAAGTCGAGAATCATAATATCGATCAAATATTTATAATTTGTAAAGTTAGAGTGGTAGTTTCTATAAGTAGGAGAGATCCCGAGAATTGTTATTGTATCTATACCTAAATAAAAATATGTAATTTGCATCCCGAAGATTTTGAGCTCAATTTTATGTGGTTTGTTTTCTGCAGAAAAAGGTTGCGATGGTAATGAAGAAGGCTGGTGCAAAGGGTCAATTTATGATGATCTTGTTCTTACTAGCTTTGTTTATCATTTTATTTGTGCTCGTCTTCTTCACATAGAGAGCTAAACTATTAAACCGAGTTTACTTATCGGGACCATACTCGATGTAAATGAGTTTTACTTATCGGGATCATTGAAGCATCTCCTATTTAGTGGATAGGATCAAAAGTCTTACCGCACTTCAGTTTTTGTTCTTTTTGAACAAATCATTTGATAGATTCACATTGGTTTCGTGATTTATCGACTACCATCCAGTTGAGGTACTTGGATTTTATCTTTGTTTTTATTTTCTATAAGAACGTTGTAAGTTGTTATTTATTCTCCCTTGATCGGTCTTTAAAACCATGGAAATCCGTGTGAATTTATGAGTGACCGTTCCCATGGTCTCGTTCTTGTGGGGAGAGATTTCGGGGTTCAATTTCGTGTATGTGCATGATTGGGTGCATGCATTATAAGGTCATTCATAGGGGTGGAGATTGGACGGATCGGATCGGAAATGGACTCTTCAGACAATTTCCGATTTTTTTCGGAACCACAATTTGATTTCCGATTCCAATTCCGATTCCGAAATTTTTGGAATGCAAAAATGAGTTCCAATTCCGACATTTTCGGAAATTTTGGAAAATCGGAATTTTCGGAATCCGAATAAAAAAAAAGGAAAAAAAAAACCAAAAAAATAGTAAAATCCCAAGAACCACCAATGGCTATAATAACCACAAATTACAACACGTGAAGAACCACCCCGACCGGAAAAGAGTTACAAAACGACTCATCCTATGTCAAATATTTTACAAAAAGAGCTACGAAGAAGTATGGAGGAGAAGAAGAAGAGCGGCGCACGGAAAAGTAGAAGAATTAGGTTTTTTGCATTGAAATCAAATGGTTTGCTGGTATGTTGATGATTTCTCATGCTAAGAAATTCAGATCTGAAGAAGAATGTGGCAGATAGTGAAATAGATGAGGTGTGCGGTGGGATTGACCGAATTGTTAAGAAATTAGGGTTTCAGAGATATTCTTTAGAAATTGCATTTAAGACCATCTACAATGGAGATGGATATAGGTTGGGGAGAGGGATGAATCCCTTGAGCTGCCCCCTTCCAACTCACGTGCTGGAAGGCGGCGTGTGATACACGCGCTCCTTATTTTTCTTTTTCTTTTCTTTTCTTCCCTTTTTTTTTG